CGACTTCATATGCCAATCGAAGTATGAGCGAATTAGATTGAGAGAGGGAACAGATTTTCGCAGACCAGTATTTATTCTGGGTGGTGATGATGATGATGATTGAAGGTGAAATGAAAATTTCGACCGCGAGACAGAATTCGAACCACACACCATCAAGGTTTCCAGGTCGATAATCTACTAACTATGTTAGAAGTTCTGAATGGTGTAGAAAAGGGGAACTATAAAATGAAGTATTGGAAATTCAATCTCGTGCTCTCATGCGCGCGTAGGTCTTTTTCTTTCTCTCTATTATCATCATTATGAAAGAGCGCAGTTGATTATCATGATCATCATCACCTGATGCATCTGCTCGTTTCATTAACTTACAGTAAAAAAATTTTAATGTAAATACATTGACATAGGAATATAATATTACAGCTGACACCTGCGCGCACAATCACACACACACACATATTATCATCTCGTAGGCATGGTAAGCTATTGGAACGTTTATCATAACAATAAAAATAACCATTTTCTTCCGTGTGTGCGTGTGTATGTGTGTGTGTGTGAAGAAGGAGAGATAAGCGTTCATCCTTATTAACAGAATGATGAAAGAGAGAAATTTGGCAAAAAGTTCTCTTCATAGTGAATATATATACATATGTATAAAGTAGTTGAATTTGTGAACTGATTGATTTTATCCTACCTTAAGATGAGAGAAAAAAGTGATTATTATTGATTAATAGGATCTTTCTCCTAAGTTGGTATTGATCAGGGATGAAGAACACCATCATCTTCATATAGAAACGAATCTAGGCTGTTCAGGCTTCAGTGAGCCTCTTCATATGAATTCAAGGGTTCATAACCTTCATTCAATGTCGTGGTTGATTAAACTATCCTTATATCTGACTAGTTAGTTAGCTACCCGACCGTCAACTCCCGCTCGGTCACATCTCTAGTAGGATTCAAGTGAAACGAGAAGTCAACTGACTTTAGGGGGTGGAGGAGTAGGTGACTGCGACGGGGGGGGGAGGTATTTTAAATATCTAACATGAGAAATCCACCCCCCTTCTCCTACCTTTAAATGAGAAATTAAAACATTGATGCGTGAAAAACCTGATGAGAAGACCAAAAAAGACCAACAGAAAAAAATGAAACAGGAAATAAGAGAAATTTTGAAAAATATTGAAATTGGGAAATTTTCTTCTTGCCTTTTACATTTATCCTTTAATAAATATGCAAATTTTTCGTCAGAAAAACGAATAAAAACAAATAAAACCAGGAATTGACCACTTCAATTGTCATAGTGTTATATCTATCCTATAAGCCAGTAAGTTAGTCATGATAGCCACTTCATAGAGGGGAATAACACCGTTCAATCGTTGACTACGTACCAGATAATAAGTACTATAAAATAAACCTAGTCTACATCACCAAGTTAGGGACTTCATACAGTCGTACATCGTGGTCTGGCTACCCCCAAAAACCCTTTAGTGTCAACCAATCAAAAGTGAAGCAGATGGTAAATGAAGACCCCAAACGATAGTTCGTCCTATATTGCGAATTGACAGAATCAATCAACTCCGATCCATTGACTGAATAGTTAACCCGTTCAACATGAAACCTGAAACTTATCATCACATCACACCTGTGTGTGTGTGTTCACCACTATTACACAATCCAATAAGGTATCCAAGATATCAAAATAACTCTGAAATGCCACCCTACAACAACCAATGAAATAACCAATCAGCTTCTTGGATTTTAACTATTTTTAAGTAGTTGTTGCCAGGGTGAGTGGTGTGGTCTTTCAAGTTATTCACAGGTACCATGGTATGTTTTGATGTTTTCAGTTAGTAAAAAGGTTAACCCAGCAGTAGTGAAGAAGTGATGAAGAAAAGGGGACTGAGTATAGTGGATCTAGGTTAGATTAGAAATCTCAGAAGGAATACAATATCTTTCAGTCTGGAAAACTGACTGAGTAGATTGGTTTTTAAGGTATCAGATCAACTGAATTGATGAATATAAAAACCCTTGCCAAAGATGAATTATCTATGTATTTTACTACTTATTCGACACAGGACATGGTCAGGCAGACAGAGTTATTATTAGTATTTTATTATTTTTCCCTTGGGTACCTAGTCAAACATACAGCTTCCGCATCAGTAGCACGCCTCAATTACACTCTCTTCTCTCCAGTCTTTTCAACCTCACTCCACCACCACCCACAACCTTTCATTTCTTCATCACACCATCTCCTCCTCCATCTCACCCTCACATAGCATGCACAACTCCCCGTTTCCCCCTACGCATTCCACTCCACTCCACTGCCTGGCCTGGCCTGGCCTCGCACGTCATGTCCCCCACTCAGCCTTCTCTTCTCAGTGTATGCACAATCCATCTCCACTTTCGCCCACTACACATCTCTTCAGCGATAGGTTCTTACTTCCTTGGTTCGTTCCAAAAGTCAGTTCCTTCTTCCTCATTCTTTCTCACCATCTATCCAACCTTCACTATCCAGTGAATATGTATACTTTGTTGCTAGTGCTTCTTGTAACATGCCAAGTGTCTGAAACATCACACACAAGCACTGACTTCACTGACATTCGTGTGGAAAATCTGCATCTCGTTCATACCTTATGCTGGGTGCAGTAGATCTCCACACTATCTTCAAATTAGTGAAAGCCTCTCTTGCTCTATTTCCAATCCTGGGTGGTTTTCACATCTTCGTCTCTGCCTGTGTCACCACCTGTAGTTGAAACGATGCTCCCACGCATAGGTGGGTAAGAGAAACTACTTCCTTCAGCTTTCTCCCGCTAATGGTGGTTGCAGCTTGTTGTTGATGCTGTTGTTCGTTGGGTATCTTCATCACCTCCACCTTCTCTACATTCACTTGAAGTCCCATCTTCGCTGACATGCCCTGCCTCTTCTCTCAACTTGTTAGTTTCTACATGTAGATATTCGACTTTGTGCGTCATTAGGCACAACTCATTGGATAAATCCAAATCCTGTAAGGTCTTTTCATCTGTCAAGCAGCGTATGACCATCTTCTCACAGCTCCTCACGGTGTGCTGCATGACTTAGTCCGCCACAATCAGGAGGATTATGGGTGATATTAGGCAGCAACCTTGTCCTTTTCCTTCCTGTCTTCACTTCAAAGGCATCACTGAGCTGCTTACCACTGTGAATCACTTGGCATGTGACGTTTTCATATAGTTGTTGAATGAGATTGATAAAGGTTGGTGGCACTCCGTAGCGTTGAAGCAGTAACTGCCAAATTATTTCTCGGTCAATAGAAAGACAAACACACCAAATCAACGTAGAACCTTATAAACAAGTGAATCACCACAAGTTGCCACACTTCACCATGGTAGCATACAAAGAGTGATATCATCAAAGTAGACAAAGTGATTAGTGAAAGTATTCAAGCTTTGAAGGATGTCAAGAAGTGGATATATCTGTGCCATAATCACTGATTTTTAGACAGGTTACCAAGATTTAGTTCTCGACCAGAGATTCCTGTCGTCTCAGAGGCTCCAGTCAGAGAAGTGGTTTAGTATTCCTAACACAGTTCACACAGGAAGTCAGGAACTCCATCCATTGCTGTGTTGTGATTAGTTAGCGTCCATAGAGCGGTGAATATTCAAGCTACCTCATTCGATTAAGGTTCCCAACCTCATTAATCGATTTGTCTGTCTTCACGTCTAATACCTTTCTCCTATCCTGAACATTGTTCACTGGATGATTTCACCAAACGTGAGTAATACTACGACGATCGAGAATAAGTTCTTGTTATATTCAACATAGTTCGTTGTAAATATAAGTAGTTGATTGATATTCTATGCTGTATTCTATGATGATCCGTGGTCGCTGGTCCGAATCCCGCTGTGGTTTACATTTTCATCTCACCTTCGATCATCATCACCCAGTAGTGATTATTCTTAATAATACTAACATTGCTTCAATGTTACTAGAAGCCAAATTACAACCTGAAAGATAATCGAATATTTAGATAAGCCAATTTTAGACATTACCAGACTTTAGAATGAAGTTTTCTAGTTGTTATATGTATATATACGAACAAGTCGAAGTATGAACCAATATAGAATTTTTTTTTAATCATGGATGGCGTTTCAAGTGATTGACTGAGGTTTCAAGCCCTAATGAAAACAATGTCATTGAGTCGAGGGGGGAGGGGGGACAGGTACATCCCTACTTGACGAGTAAGTCCCAGATAGGACAAAACCCGTGGCATCAAGTTAGATTCCACTGTTAACCAGCATTCACTATCATCAATATCAAACAGAAGATAATGGTAACATTGAGACATTTGAGCACAATTCAGTTCGATCAACGACGATAACACGACAATTCAATCCATCTAAGAAGAGGTGGTCTAGTAGACGACGGTATTCAAAAGAACATCACATACTAGGATGTAGGTACATATCCCACTCCTCTATTCTTGTTCTTCAATAGAAAATGTCAACCAAATTACTAGATTCACCTAAAATAATAGCTGGTGTACAAGTCTAGGCATCAGACAGATATCAGCTGAACGACTGAAATTGCATTGTGGGCACATACACACACATACACACTGAACATATTCAAACTATGTTCGAACATTGCCAACGGAACTCAGAGTGGATGTATATACACAAATGTATAGCAGCTATATGCTGATTCTCACCATCAACGGGAGAAATCTAAAGGAAGTTGTGTCTTTCACCTACCCACCTACCTACTTACACAGGCAGCATCGTTTCAACTACATGCGGCCTCACGGCAACAGATCACGATGTCAAAGTCAGCTAGCCAGCATCAGAAACACAGCAAGATAGGCCTTACTGGATTATCTGAAATAATCAGTGTGGAGATCTACTGCACTACACTGCACTACACTGGACGCACCATTAAGCGTGAACAACATCCGGATTTGAAACACTAAGTCAGTCAAGTAAGTTAGCCAGTCAGTGCTTGCTTCTATGTGATAGTCGACGGACTTAGTGGCGCCTTACGAAAAGCATTTCCAACAAACTGCACACATACATCATCAACAGCTGCTGTCTACGCTCACTCAATACTGACACTGAAGATCAGATCACATGGCAAGAAAGAATCACTCTGGCCTGCCAACCAACCAACCAACCGACCAACCAACCAACCAACAACCTTATCCCCCAACAAATATGCAGAAGAGGAAGGTGGAGATGGAATCGATTGGATTGGATAGAACATATACTGAGAAGACTGTTTGGGGACATCAGGCGCCAGGCCATGCCACTGAGTGGGACTCAAATGGGAAACGACGAGTTGGGCGTCCCAGGTGAGGGTGTTATGGAGGAGATGGTGTGTGGGGAAGAAATGAAAGGTTGTGGGCATTGGTGGAGGCAGATTGAGAAGACTGTAGAGAAGAGAGTGAAATGGCTATGTGCTTCTGAAGCCGTATGCTCCACTAGGAACCCAAAGGACAAATAATAATATGTTTGTTCATGGAGTAAGCTATTGTGCAATGACTAACGATACCAGTTGGTTACACACGGAATAGATAAATCCTTGGTTTAAGAATCAACTGCCCAAGTTTATGAGGACTGATGTGCATTGAAGAACCATTGAAAACCTTGCAGTACTATACAGCTGTCTGTTTCTAATGTTGGACTACTCAGCAGTGCGCACCCATGACCTTTTCGTTTCAGGAATCGAACTCAGGACCTTAAAGTTTCATAAAGAAGTTCAATTGTTTACAGTTTACTACTTCTATCATTTCAGAATATACAGCAATTTATCTCCACTATGACTTTTAGTAAAAGGCCTTCGGTTCACTGCATCTGCCTGCGTGATGAATACGATTTCCTCCTCCTCCTACTATATTATTATTTGTCCCTTGGGTTCCTAGTCGAACATAGGGCTTTAGTAGCACGTCTCTATTCCACTCTTTTCTCTGCAATCTGTCAACTTGGCTCTACGACAGCCCAGAGGCTCTCATTTCTTCCTCGCATCATCTCCTCCAAGTCACCCTCTCCTCGGATGCCTAACTCATCGTTTCCCATATGGGTTCCACTCGAGTACCTGGCCTTGCACGTGATGTCCCAGAATCGTCTTCTCCTCCTCGTCACCCTCCTCCTACTACATAAATCATGAAAAACCAATAAAGTGAATTAAAGTCATAAATGATGTCTAAGCCTTAATTATACAGCAACTACTACCTCAATAAAGATACTTGTAAATCGTATGGAAAGAGATATATAGACAGTAGTACTAGGCAACTTAACAAACGTGTTACTAAGCATCTACCTTCAAGGAATAGATTCGAATTCATCACAATTTCTGTTTGATTACATCTAGTTGGATAGTGTGATCATTTATTGGATAAGAATAATACTTTCAACAGTATTCACTGTATACCACTTCATCTTTCTAAAGGTAATTGAACTTGTCTCTTACACATAGCAGACAGAAGTTGTGAGAGTTCGAACTACAAATCCTAGTCTTTATATCGAAAGGACGTTTTTACATCATTAATCTCTACCTTTATTTTTTAAATTTACCCCTTGGGTTCCTAGTGGAACATATGGCTTCAGGAGCACATAGCCATTTCACTCTCTTCTCTACAGTCTTCTCAACCTGCCTCCACCAATGCCCATAACCTTTCATTTCATCCCCACACACCATCTCCTCCATAACACCCTCACCTGGGACGCCCAACTCGTCGTTTCCCATTTGAGTCCCACTCAGTGGCATGGCCTGGCGCCTGATGTCCCCAAACAGTCTTCTCAGTATATGTTCAATCCAATCCAATCCAAACCATTCCATTCCATCTCCACCTTCCTCTTCTGCATATTTGTTGGTTGGTTGGTTGGTTGGTTGGTTGGTAGGCCAGAGTGATTCTTTCTTGCCATCTGATCTGATCTGATCTTCAGTGTCAGTATTGAGTGAGCGTAGACAGCAGCTGTTGATGATGTATGTGTGCAGTTTGTTGGAAATGCTTTTCGTAAGGCGCCACTAAGTCCGTCGACTATCACATAGAAGCAAGCACTGACTGGCTAACTTACTTGACTGACTTAGTGTTTCAAATCCGGATGTTGTTCACGCTTAATGGTGCGTCCAGTGTAGTGCAGTGTAGTGCAGTAGATCTCCACACTGATTATTTCAGATAATCCAGTAAGGCCTATCTTGCTGTGTTTCTGATGCTGGCTAGCTGACTTTGACATCGTGATCTGTTGCCGTGAGGCCGCATGTAGTTGAAACGATGCTGCCTGTGTAAGTAGGTAGGTGGGTAGGTGAAAGACACAACTTCCTTTACATTCCCCCCCACCCCCACCACCACCGTTGATGGTGCTTGCTGTTGGTTGAGTTTCTTCATCACCTGTGTCTTCTCTATGTTCACCTGAAGAAAGTAGCGTCTTCGCTGCCTTGCTTTTTTTTACCAACTTGTTAGTTTTTGCTCGTAAATCTTCGGGTTTGTGCTACATAAGATATTAGACACCAATCATCATTGTTGGCGAAATCCAAATCTTCCTAGGGTCGTTGTGTTTTCATCGGTGAAACAGCGAGCGTATACCCCTCTCTTCTCGTTCCTCGCAGTTTGTCGCATGATTCAGTTCAGTTGAGCCAACCACAATTAGGATGATCATCGTTGTTGGTAGGCAACTGGTGTCTTCACTTCAAAGGTATCATCTTGGCTAAGGAATACTTCATAAACAACTTTATCATTGACATTTCCCCCTAGCCTTTTCATATACTTAGTGCATCTGTTTTGAACATTATTTTCATTTTGACTATCTGAGATAGCATACGTGGTTTGGTAAACTTCCATTGATACTGGGTGAACTGCGCACATTTCAAACCAGCGACCATCAAGTTTCCAACCTGATGCTTTAACAACCTCATAGTCTATGGTTTAATTCCCGTCGTGGTCCAAATTAATTTTTATTTACATCTAGTTGTTCATATTGGAGTAAAACCTAAAGACAAGACAGGCGTTCATTAACCTAAAATCAGTGTGGAGATCTACTGCACTCAGCAGAAAGTGTGAACAAGATCCGGATTCTCAACATCAAGTCAGTGAAGTCAGTGCTTCTATATGATGGTTCAGAGACTTAGTGCGTTACGAAAAGCACTTCCAACAAACTACAGACATTATACATCATCAACAGCTGCCACCTACGCTCACTGCATACTGAAGTTCGGTCAGATGGCAATAAAGAACAAGCTACAAGGAACTCTGGCTGCCTGGTTGGCAACGAACCAACCAACTACCTGTCGCTCAATAAATAAGCTGAAGAAGACAGTGGAGATGGATTGGGCATACACTGAGAAAACCATTCGGGGACATCACGTGCCAGGCCAGGCACTCGAGTGGAACCCAAATGGGAAGCGACGAGTTGGGCATCCGTGGTGAGGGTGACATGGAGGAGATTGTGTGAGAAAGAAATGAAAGGGTGAGGACAGTGGTGGAGCCAGAGAGTGGAATGGAGAAGTGCTACTGAAGCCCTATGTTCCACTAGGAACCCAAAGGACAAAAGAATCTAATTGAAAACAATATTGTCTGCTTATATATTCTTGTTCTAAACGCATATATATACACCTGGTGTCTATAGAATAAGTTAAAATACTATAATTTTCACAAGAAATCAGTAAATTTTCTGTAGATTTTTCAAAAACAAACTAACCCAGTAGTATTGTCTCAGGCAAAATATGCAATTTATATCCTCATAACAATATTCCTCTCCGTTTCTCTGTAACACACACACACACACACACACAGCATGAAATTGTATACATATGTGCAGCTACGATGCAGTGGTACTGTATACATACCGATAACAATAAAGCGAAGTAGACTATATATACATATAGATAGAGGTAGACACTATCAATGACATTTACCAATATATATTATATGGCTTGGTAGGTTTATATATTAGTGACTTGAAAGGTAATTAGACAACACAAATGTTTTGAAACGAAAACAATTAAATAAATTCACTAGTATGTGTGTGTGTGTGTGTGTGTGTGTGTGTTTGTTTGTACCCAACACAACAACAGTACAGATAAGAGAAGGGCTGTTTAACATTTGCCGATTTGCGTCATCTATGGCGCCAAATGGTGAGATATACAACTGTCTGTTAAACGACAAGTTTAATGCACTGCACTACGCTACACTCCGTTCTATCCTACTCTATATAGTTATGAGACATGAAGTGTTTATAGAGTTTTGATCATAGATGTCTTTGTAGAATTGTTTGCATTTGGTGGAATCATTGTGTGAACAATGTTGAGGTTAGGCAAAGGGCGGCAAAACAGGCAATTCGATTGAAATGACTTAAATATATACAGCGCTGTGCATGTCTAGTCACCGCCTACCTTCAACGTACCATGTTAATTATCAATATTTTTCCCCTTGGGTTCCTAGTCAAACATACAGCTTCCGCATCAGTAGCACGCCTCAATTACACTCTCTTCTCTCCAGTCTTTTCAACCTCACTCCACCACCACCCACAACCTTTCATTTCTTCATCACACCATCTCCTCCTCCATCTCACCCTCACATAGCATGCACAACTCCCCGTTTCCCCCTACGCATTCCACTCCACTCCACTGCCTGGCCTGGCCTGGCCTCGCACGTCATGTCCCCCACTCAGCCTTCTCTTCTCAGTGTATGCACAATCCATCTCCACTTTCGCCCACTACACATCTCTTCAGCGATAGGTTCTTACTTCCTTGGTTCGTTCCAAAAGTCAGTTCCTTCTTCCTCATTCTTTCTCACCATCTATCCAACCTTCACTATCCAGTGAATATGTATACTTTGTTGCTAGTGCTTCTTGTAACATGCCAAGTGTCTGAAACATCACACACAAGCACTGACTTCACTGACATTCGTGTGGAAAATCTGCATCTCGTTCATACCTTATGCTGGGTGCAGTAGATCTCCACACTATCTTCAAATTAGTGAAAGCCTCTCTTGCTCCATTTCCAATCCTGGGTGGTTTTCACATCCTCGTCTCTGCCTGTGTCACCATCTGCAGTTGAAACGATGCTCCCACGCATAGGTAGGTGAAAGAGACTACTTCATTCAGCTTCCTCCCTCTAAGGCTGATTCGTACCTCTTCCTGTTCATCCTGTTGTTGGTTAGGTATCTTCATCACCTCCACCTTCTCTACATTCACTTGAAGTCCCATCTTCGCTGACATGCCCTGCCTCTTCTCTCAACTTGTTAGTTTCTACATGTAGATATTCGACTTTGTGCGTCATTAGGCACAACTCATTGGATAAATCCAAATCCTGTAAGGTCTTTTCATCTGTCAAGCAGCGTATGACCATCTTCTCACAGCTCCTCACGGTGTGCTGCATGACTTAGTCCGCCACAATCAGGAGGATTATGGGTGATATTAGGCAGCAACCTTGTCCTTTTCCTCCCTGTCTTCACTTCAAGGGCATCACTGAGCTGCTTACCACTGTGAATCACTTGGCATGTGGTGTCTTCATATAGTTGTTGAATGAGACTGATAAAGGTTTGTGCTACTCCGTAGTGTTGAAGCAGCAACTACCTGCCAAATTAATTCTCGGTCGACGCTGTTGAAAGAAGGCCTTTTCAAGGTGGATGAAGTTGAGGTAAAGTTGAGTTGACTGCCATTCTATACTCTTTTGTATCATGATGCGTAGTGTAATATTGGAATTTGATCCGCACAGGATTTGTTCTTCATGAAGCCAGTCAGCCAGCCAGCCTGTTCCGGTCGTAATTTTGAATCCAGAGCATCTTCTAGTCCCTCCAGGATGATGTGACTTAATATTTAGCTTGGTATGAACAGCAGTATGATTTCTCGCCAGTTCTTACAAAGGCATAGGTCTCCCTTCTTTGGGAGTTTGACAAGGTACCTCTTCTTCTTCTTCTTCGAATCTACAGGTACCTGACTGCGGTACTCGATTATGTAAATTTGAAACTTATATGTGACATCAATTTCATCGAGGTTGTGGATATACATGTTGTGGACGAATACCAGGAAGCATGAAATCTAAGTCTTCTTACGGATTTCCTCCAACCAAGTAACATGTGATCTAGTGAGTTCCACGATCTGTCGAACATCCCCTCATGCAGAGAGCCAAGAAGCACCACTAACAGATGTTGACCTGATACCACTATCCTCTATACCATGAAGCCTAGTCATACGCTGATCAGTCCCCCGCTTCTTCCGTCCAGTCCAAGGGCTAGCAAACAGTGAATGGTGTGGAAGATGTTGGGACGACATACTTAACACATGTCCAAGCCACCGAGGCTGGTGTTTTTCCAGATGACTTCACTTATTGAATGCCAATCTTCATCCTGACCAAACACACGCAGTCGTACTTCAGAGTTATTTACATGGTGTTGCCACGGCATATGAGCAATCTTACGGAGACAACCATGGTCAAATGCGTAAAGTCATCTTACATCGTCAGCTCGGAGAAGCCAGATTTCTCAGGCATAGAGTAGAACTCCTCGCACCGTAGCGTTGTAAACTCGAACTTTTACGGTCGAAAAAGGTCGTGACGGCACCAAAGGTGACCTAGATTGGTGCATGTTACTCTGGCTCCCAATATGCAGTTAGAAACTTCACCACTCACACCACCAGTATTCATACAACTATCCAAATAGACGAACTTTTCGACTACTACCAACAGCTCACTACCGAGGATGACCGCAGAGACACAGGCTCCTGCCAATCTTGCAAAAGAACTTCGCAGTTTAACGGTGGAAACGACAAACCATAGCTACAGACAGTAATCGCCAACTAATTAAGTGTGATTTGAGTAGCTTGTGTGTTATCGTACGGCAAAACGATATCGTTCGCTTCTCTGAGGTTGAATAACCATCATCCGGGTAGTAGGTCTACACTATCAGGCACCTCCTTCAGAGATGTTTCAAGAATGTCATCAAATGACGTAAGTTGCCAAAAGCCAATCGGGCCTACTCTATCCAAGAAGAGATTTCATCAGCAACCAACTCATCTGGAGACCTAATGAAACTCCTCAAGTGTAAGTAAAATACTCGACACATTCCACCACTTCACTCCCTAATCATTAAACTGGGAGTATTTGCAGTAGACCAGTCCTGAAGCATCCTCTTACATTTGACAGATGCCAGTTAAACGCATGCCTAACATACTCAAATTTCTGCTCAACATGTTCAAAAGATCCTGCATTTTGTCAGCTTCTTCACCTAACCTATCCGGACAATATCTCATCTGCGTATAGCATGTTGATTATATGATCTTCAAGAAGTAAGTCAATCCATATGAACGAAGTAAGTCACTAATGGGGTAGTATTTATCATAGCACTGACCGAAAAGTAATTTGGAAGGTAACTGCTTCAACAATACGCTTTTAGTGACACAAATAGTCATCAACCTCATTCAACACCACCTATATGTTAGATGAAGATGCTACATGACAAGTGAACCACAGACGAAAGCTCAGTGATGCATTTGAAGTGAAGACAGGGGACAGGAGTAAGACAAGGTTGCTGCCTACTATCAACAATGGTCTTCTGGTTAAGGTTTATTGGACTGGACTCAACTGGACTGGATCATGCAACAAACTGTGAGGCGCTGTTAGATGGGCATACACTTGATGTTTCACCCATGATAAAACAAACACTTTAGAAGATTACGATTTCGCCAACGATGACGATTCATGTCTAATGTCGCACAAACTCGAAGATCTAGAGGTAAAAACTAGCAAGTTGGCAGAAGAGGCAGCGAATACGGTGAACGTAGAGAAGACAGAGGTGAGGAAGATACCCAATCACCAACAACAACAAGCATCAGTCACCAACAATGGGAGAAGCCCAAAGGAAGTTGTCTCTTTCACCTACCTACTTACATAGGCAGCATCGTTTCAACAACTGGCGACACAAGCACGGGTGAGGACAAGCCTTCCTGCATCATTCTGAAATCACTGTGGAGATCTACTGCACTACACTACACTACACTGCACTGCACTGCACTGCACTGCACTGGACGCACCATTAAGAGTGAACAACATCCGGATTTGAAACACTAAGTCAGTCAAGTAAGTTAGTCAGTCAGTGCTTGCTTCTATGTGATAGTCGACGGACTTGGTGGCGCCTTACGAAAAGCATTTCCAACAAACTGCACACATACATCATCAACAGCTGCTGTCTACGCTCACTCAATACTGACACTGAAGATCAGATCACATGGCAAGAAAGAATCACTCTGGCCTACCAACCAACCAACCAACCAACCAACCAACCAACAACCTTATCCCCCAACAAATATGCAGAAGAGGAAGGTGGAGATGGAATCGATTGGATTGGATAGAACATATACTGAGAAGACTGTTTGGGGACATCACGTACCAGGCCATGCCACTGAGTGGGACTCAAATGGGAAACGACGAGTTGGGCGTCCCAGGTGAGGGTGTTATGGAGGAGATGTTGTGTGGGGATGAAATGAAAGGTTGTGGGCATTGGTGGAGGCAGGTGGAGAAGACTATAGAGAAGAGAGTGAAATGGCTATGTGCTCCTGAAGCCATATGTTCCACTAGGAACCCAAAGGACAAGTTATAAGTAATAATAATAATTCATCACGGTATTGACACTAGCTAGGTGATAGAGGTTGAAAACTGTGAACCATTGAACTCCGGTTCCAGTGGCTATCAAACCTGAACGTCCCGAGTTCGGTCCCTGTCGGGGGCAAGATTGTGGGTGATTACTACAGAAGAGTCCTATACTAGGAAGAAATAGTTGTCCAGTACTGACAGGCTTCTTTTCAATAGTACTCCAGTTGATGTCACTCCATGATGAATATTACCTTGACATAACCTGAAGCTTACACTACCATATAGTGGTCATTAGGGACATACTTTATTGAAGATGGATATCCCGAAGTTCTAATAAGAAGCCATGACCTGTGGTATAGACTAGTCGAAAAGGAAAGGGATACCAACTGAAGACTTTGAGCGACAGAACCTGGGAACTGTGAACCATTGAATACCAGATCCAATCGCTGGATAGTTAACGCGTTCGGAGTAACACCTGAAAGTCCTGAGTTCAATCTCTAAATGGGTTGGGTTATGGGTGAGTGAGTACTGCCTAAAAATCTCAAGTAAGATAAAACGCTCATCAACCTAGATTCCATTATTCGTCATCATTATATCAAGTCAAATACAACTTGATAGTTTCATCAATGTGTTTATCAAGGCTACTGAAGTTATGAAGGAAACCTTCACAATCATTTATCATCTCTACAGATACATTTTAACACTGCTGAAGAGTCCCATACTAGAACGAAACAGCTGTCCACTGCTCCCAACTTTCCTCTGTTCCTCCAACTCATATCAGTCTAAGATGTATAACAACTTGGAATATATTTCCAAATCCCCACAACTCCTTCAAAATTCAGCTAAACTAGTGCTCATTGGTGACTAGCTTCGAATGGTATTCCCGAAGCTCCAATGAGAAGCGGTGACCGGTGGGGGTGAAGCCTTATGATCGTGAGGACAGTTACTCAACGATGACATTGGATGGCGGTTGCGCAATATCGTGAGTTAACAGAAGGTGCAAATATAGAGCATTGGATACTGACCTAGTGGTTCAATGCTGACGTGATGGTCACGGAACCTGAAGGTCACGGATTCGGTCCGGGGAGGGCGGGGTCATGGGTGAGCATTGTTGAGGAGTCCCACACTAGTCTGACGAAACAGCTCTTCAGTGCTCCCACCTTTCCTTTGTTCCTCCAAATCATGTCAGTCTACGATGAATAACAACTTGAAATGAATAAAGCGATATATTAAACTGTCACAATTACATTACTATATTATATTGATTAAATCCTATTTACTTTTTCACTTACCGACAAATAAAAGGCGATGAAACTGATGAAAGAATAAGCTTTTCACAATAAACATGCTCTTGTTGTCGAGTTTGTACAATATGCGCTTTTTGTAGGCGTTTTAAAGCGAAAGCTTGACTTCTATCATCTATCAATGTCACCTAATAAGATAAATAAGAAACATACAGACAGAGTAGAAAGTATAATGAAGATGTAAAATTATTCAACACTGAAAGATGATTGGTTCATTAGGCTACATATCCTTTAATTTTGCATAGCTTTCAGTGGTGGTTTTCCTCATGACCTTGAAGATAACCTAGTTTCTCTTCCCTCCACACTCTCAAGGCTGAATTCCTATTGGTTGTTAATTATATGTGAATTTAGTGTTGTCAAGGTCATTTAAAGGTGTATATATATTCAACATCGCAGTCAGCTGTATTGACTGTTGTTAAGACAGTAAAAAAATCCTCGTCGGTAGTATTGTTGTTACGGTGGTGGTTGACATTCTGATTTGGGTTAGAGTCGATTGGATTGTGTGTTAGGTTTGTATTGTTCATCGACTGTTAAGTCGTACTGCCGGTCATAGCACATCAGACTGGCCAAACTAAGACCTGGTACCAGTCCATAAATTGAATTTTGAGGAGGTTGTGGGGATTTGGAAATATTCCAAGCTGTTATTCATCATAAACTGGCATGAGTTGGAGGAATAAAGGGAACCTGAGAGCACTGGACAGCTGTTTCGTCAGACTAGTATGGGCCTGACTCTTCAGCAGTGCGCACCCACGACCTCGCCCTCCTTGGGTCGAACCCACGACCTTCAGGTCCCGTGGCCAACACTGGATCAGAATCCAATGGATCCATATTTCCAACTTCTGTTCAACCCCACCTGTCTCAGTTACTCAAACTCCTAATCCAGTATATCTACACAGATAGATAGATAGATGGATACTGGATAGTACTCTAGTGACCAATTGGTGTATCTAATCACAACTGCCGAATATAACTACCAACCTTATAGCCATCATAAATTGTTTACGACTGCTTAGTTGTCTGTTCCATTTTACTGTTCATGGAGAGAGATGATATTGCCTGTAAACGAATCCACACACACACACACACACACACAACCGTTGCACCTAGTAACACTGAGTGTATCATGATTAGCAGATTGTTGGTTGGCGACAATCCACCAGGAAGTTGACCTCCATCATCACAACAAGGAGTTCCGACAAATTTCTCTCTCTCTCTTTCATAGGCTACTAACTTGTATTCATCAATCAATTGACATCTGTGAACAACTCACATTTCTTCAGCACACAAGTGAGGAAGAAGCGTTCACACAAACATTTAGTGATATATCACCAGAGACTGATCAATACAGTTTGATAAACTAATAAACAGTAAAAAAAGCGGATATTTCATTAGCTTAACTAGCCTCCAGCCACCACTACGTTGCCCAATATCCAGTCGGATTCTGGATAGAACATTTGACATAGGTCCCCCAACACTTGCAGAAGTCGAAAAAGCTGTAGGTAACATGAAACACAGAAGGGCAGCAGGACCAGATGAATTAACTCCTGAGGTATACAAGGATGGTGGCACAGTGCTCTTAGTCAGGTTAACGGAAGGGTTAACTAGTATGTGGGAATCAAATAAGATCTCCTCTGACTGCTCAAAATCACTGATTATCCTAGTCTTTAAGACAGGTGAGACGTCCCCTTGTGGTAACCACAGAGGAATCAGACTGATGAACATAGTATCCAAGATCCTGGGTTCTATAATACTTCGACGCCTAAGTGGAACTCGGAAAGAGCAAACCTGAGAAAACCAGGCAGGCAGGCTTTAAACTCGGCCCCACATACTGCACCAGGTCCTGGAACATAGACACGCTTACCGACGCCTGACAATAGCTGTATTTCTTAACCCGAAGGCGCCATTCAACTCCGTTGATCCAGAAGACTTATGGCAATGTCTCTCACTAAAAGGTGTGCCGATTAAGTACACTACTTTATTGAAGGCTCTCTACTCAAACACTTGTGGGCATGTTAGAGCCTATGGTGAGATATCCGGGGAGATATGCTCATCCAGTGGTGTCCGTCAAGGGTGCCCACTATCCCCATTCTTATTCAATCTTATCATAGATATTCTTATAGAGGTCTCCCTCTCGTCATTAGGTTACACAGACGTTGACCTAATCGGTGGGGAATTTTCGTTAGACCTAGAATATGCAGATGATATAGTTCTGTTAGGTGAAGACGCTGACAAGATGCAGAGTCTTCTGAACACTTTGAGTAGCGATTTGAGAATCTTTGGGATGCGGTTCTCACCACCCAAATGCAAATTGTTAATGAAGGATTGGTCTTCAGTGGTACTCTTCGTAACAAGAAAGAGTGAAGTGGTTGAGTGCGTTGGCTGACATCTGTCGGCTTACGCCACATGTGTCGCCGCCGTGATATCCGATTGTCTATTAAGAGTGGTGTGCACTGGCACAGCAGTCCGATCTGTTCTACTGTATGGCTGTGAAACATGGCCATTGAAGGTGGAAGACATAAGAAGGCTTGCTTCAAGTGTTTGACCACCATTGTCTTCGTACCATAGGCCGTACTCCGTGGTATCACCACGTGAGTAACGTGGAAGTCAGGTGTAGAATTTTAGGGAGAAGAGGTCAGTTGAGTCAGTTGACAAGGTTGTGAACCCTCATTGACTAAGATGGCTGGCTGGGACATGTGTTACGTATGCCTAACGACCGTCTGACTTGTCACACAATGTTGGCTGAAGTAGGTTCAAGCTGGAAAAAGAACCAAGGTGGCCAGACTAAAACATGGCACCAATGTATGAAGTCTTTGACTGTTAGTTTGAGACATGCAGGGCGATGCAGACTACCCGATTGGGATCGGCGGGACAAGAGACTCTAGGTGATATGGCTCAGAACCGATGTCAGTGGCACAGATGTATCCCCAAACACATTATCCTCATCTTAACGACATTATTACCGAATCTCACCATTTTCTCATTCTTCCTTTATCTCTTTTAGCACCTTTATATTTCTTTCGACTGCATTCTCCTATCTTCATCTTCCACCTTACTTGGTGTTCTGATATATGAAATGTGGCAAGTCGGACCGCTAAGCAGTAATGCCTCGTCTTATGTTGATTTGGACTGACGTATGTGGCTAGTCTTAGTTATCAGTTTAATGGACAACGGACTGACCTTTAGAATCATCAACAAATAGGTCGTATTAATGATCAGTATGACTCCCTCACACACACCCCCCCCCAGCTTCTCTCTCTCTCTCTGTCTCCCCCTATTTAATTCAACTAAATCTCAGTTGACATGGATAACATCTCTGATTGATTACATAGCCCGTGTGTGTAATTATATTATTATTTGTCCTTCAGGTTCTTAGTGGAACATAGGGCTTCAGTAGCACGTCTCCATTCCACTCCCTTCTCCGCAATCTTTTCAACCTGGCTCCACGACTACCCACAAGCTCTCATCATCCATCATCATTATCAACATAGGACCAGGCATTACTGCGTAACGGTCCGAGTTGCCACACCTCATATCAGCACATCAAGTAAAAAGGTAGTGAGGTGAAGGATGAAGATAAGTGAATGCAGTCAAAAGAAATATAAAGTACGAGAAGAAAGGAAAGAGGAGTGACAAAATAGTGAGATTCGGTATAGCGTTGTTAAGATGAGGATAATGTGTGTATACATCTGCGCCACTGACTTCGGTTCTGAGCCATATCACCTAGGGTCTCCAACCACTGGTTCCTCTTGTCCCGTGGACCCCAACCACCTAGTCTGCATCGTCCTACATGGCTTAAACCAACAGTCAGAGACTTCATACATTGGTGCCATGTTTTAGTCTGGCCACCTCGGGCCTTTTTCCAGCCTGAACCCACCTCAGCCAACATTGTGTGACGAGGCAATCGGTGACTAGGCATACGTAGTACGTGTCCCAACCATCTCAGTCGATGAAGGTTCACAACCTCGTCGACTGACTTACCTCTTCTCCCTAAAACTCTACACCTAACTTCTGCATTACTCACATGGTGACACCACGGAATACGTCCTATACTACGAAGGCAACGGTGGTCAAACACCTGTAACCTTTTCATGTCTTCCACTTTCAATGGCCATGTTTCACAGCCATACAGTAGAACAGAGCGGACTGCTGTGCAGTACACGCGACCCTTAATAGACAAACGAATATCACGGCGGCGCCATAGGTGGCGCAAATTGGCAAAAGCCAATCGAGCCTTTTGTATCCGTGCAGAAATCTCATCGGCAACTAACCCACCGGGTTGATCCTACTTCCCAGGTAAGTGAAGTGGTCAACACACTCAACCACTTCACTCTCTATTGTTAACCGCGGTACCGCTGAAGACCAGTCCTGGAGCAAAAATTTGCATTTGGGTGGTGAAAATCGCATCCCAAACATTCTCAAATTCCCACTCAAAGTGTTCAGAAGACTCTGCATCTTGTCAGCGTCTTCACCTAACAGGACTATGTCATCTGCATATTCTAGATCTAAGGAAAATTCACCTGTGATCGGGTCAACGTCTTTGTAATTAGGTGACGAGAGGGAAACCTCCATAAGAATATCTATGATAAAATTAAATAAGAATGGGGATAGTGGGCATCCTTGACGGACACCACTTGATGAGTATAGCTCCCTGGACAACTCACCATAGGCTCTAACATGCCCACAAGTGTTCGAGTAGAGAGCTTTCAATAAGGTGATGTACTTACTAGGCACGCCTTTCAGTGACAGACACTGCCATAAGACTTCTCGATCAACGGAGTCAAATGCCGCCTTCAGGTCGAGAAATACAGCTATTGTCGGGCGTCTGTAAGCATGCCTATGTTCCAGGACCTGGCGCAGTGTGAATATTTGGTCGATACATCCACGGCCAGGTCTAAAGCCTGCCTGGTTTTCTCGGGCTTGCTGTTCCCGAGCTCCACTCAGGCGTCGGAGAATTATAGAACTTAGGATCTTAGACACTATGTTTGTCAGGCTGATTCCTCTGTGGTTATCACAAGAGGACTTCTCGCCTTTCTTGAAGACTGGGATGATGAGTGACTTAGACCAGTCGGAGGGGATCGTATTTGATTCCCATATACTGGCTAACACTTCCGTTAGCCTGACTAAGAGA